TGCTTGTCACACTAGTCCTGTGATCCTGGACAGGCCATCTGTAAAATGGAGATAATAGTAGTCTCTACCTTACTGAGTTCTTATTATGATTAAGTGAGATATTGGAAAGTGCTAGAATACTTGGCATATAGCAAGCTCTATAAAAAGTTTAATAAATATATACAGAATACTGGCATATATATAGCAAAGCCTAAACATCTCAAAATGCTAGAGAAAATTACAGCCATGACATTATGTGGTAATTACCAAAATGTATTTTTAATGTTGGAAGTTTGGATTCCTGATAAATACAATCATGTTTTTATTGCTGTAACAGTGATCACCTTTTAATTTACTTTAACAATTAAACAAGAGATTTAAAAGATACTCTGGATTGAGAGCCAACTACTCGTAAAGCAGACTGAAGTACAAAAAAGATACTGATTTATGCTCAAGGTTCTGGAAGTCTGTGGAGTGCAAGTTGTCAGAAAGCCAATTTAATAGAGCTGCTTCCTTTATGCCAAAAGGACTCACTGGGGACATCACTGTTTCCATACAAAATAAAGCTTGTTGTATTTAAACAAAACTAGAACATGCCTTTTTTTTTGAGACAGTGTCTCACTCTGTCTCCCTGGGTAGAGTGCCGTGGCGTCAGCCTAGCTCACTCTAACCTAAAACTCCTGGGCTCAAGCGATCCTCCTGCCTCAGCCTCCAGAGTAGCTGGCTACAGGGGTGTGTGACCACACTCACCTCATTTTTTCTATTTTTGGTAGAGACAGTGGCTCTTTGCTCAGGCTGGTATCAGGAGATCTTGACCTCAAGCGATCCTTCTGCCTTAGCCTCTCAGAGTGCGAGGATTATAGAATGAGCCACCACACCAGCTATAACTTTCTTTTTATAATGCAGAATACTGTAAGAAAAAAAAACTGCAGAACAGGAAATGTTACTAATCATATAAACTCTATATTAGTTCTAGAAAAAAAACAACAAAACAGTCAGAAGATAACTTAAGTAGTGACATCTTTTTTTTTTTTGAGAGATCTCTTGTTCTGTGCCTGGGCTAGAGTGCCGTGGCATCAGCCTAGCTCACAGCAACCTCAAACTCCTGGGCTCAAACGATCCTCCTGCCTCAGCTTCCAAGTAGCTGGGACTACAGCATGCACCACATGCCGGCTAATTATTTCTATATATTTTTAGTTGCCAATTAATTTCTTTCTATTTTGAGTAGAGATGGGTCTCACTCTGCTCAGGCTGGTTTCGAATCTTGACCTTGAGCGATCCGCCCGCCTCGGCCTCCCAGAGTGCTAGGATTATAGGTGTGAGCCACCGCGCTTGGCCAGTGACATGCTTTTTAAAAAAATTTCGGTAGATTGAGGGGTGCAAGTATGATAGTTTTTGGTTACTCGGATGAATTGCATAGTAGTGATGTCTGGAGTGATACATACTTTTACCTAGAAAGGAAATCTGGTATACAGAGGTATAAACTTTTAATGGTTACTGCTTATTAATGTTTATTTTATAAGAGAACCCTCTGTCTCTTCACTGAGTCATTTGCACATTTTTTTTCTCCTTATCATCAGTAATTTTCAGGACTTTCAGAGACTTTTACAAAATCATGTACAGTTTTTTTTTATTCAATTATAGTAAGTATTATTGTTGACTACAAAATTCTAAAGTAAATTGCCATTTGTCAAACAATTCGCCCGAGGTACACAGATTTGGGATACTTCTCCTTAAGAGCTGGCCACTGAACAATGAAGTAATCTGAGAGATGAAACAGAATCTTTCCGGACATCGATAACGTTTCTACACGGCAGATGCTTTCAACATAGACAATGATCACTTTCTTTATTCCTAGTATCCCAAGGAGAAGGGCAGATACACAGATAGGAACACATGTTCCTGGTCCGTTACACAACACCTAAAAAAGAAAAAAAAAAAAAGTTGAAGGTCAAATTAAAATACAGAATAATAATCTAAGTGAGGCATTTTGCATTAAGAATAATCTGATCTTTGAGGAGATTTATTTATTATTCTAAACAAAGAATAATTCTTTTTATTCTTTTTTGTCTTTTTTTTGTCAAGAATCAGGATGCATCAAACTGTGTGTTTAACCCATGCACTTAGGAGGCAGGTAGGGCTGTGTTGTCTTGGCCGTCTTGCTTACCAGTTGTGTGACTTGGGCCAAATCACTTAAGTTTTAACTTCTAGCACCAGTGCCTGGTACTCGCTCAGTCAGCACTCACTGGACTGGCATGCGTTGCTCTTCTTCTAATGCTTTGTGAATCTTGGATGTCACACACTTATATAGAAAATAGATCAAATCAACTAAGATTCACTCCGTTTTCTTTATGTACCAATTTATTCTTGATGTAGGAGAAAACGTCTTTAAGTGACTAATTATGTAGAATATTTTTGTGGGATGTGGAATCATTTTAGGGGTTCAATCCAACAAATGGAATTTTCAAGAGAAGACTACCATGGGAATGAAATTTTCCCACAATAGGGTTTAATGAATGCTTGTAACACAGAAGAGTTTTAATGCTTTTGAATTCTGCTAATTTTTATAGAAAGCCACTGGTTAAAAACAATTTAGTTGACTAACCCAACAAGAGAAATAAAAATAAACTCATAGAGCAACTACAAAGAATTTTTCTAAGTCTTTTAAGAAAATGAGAGGAAACATATTTTACAGAATTGCTGGTAAGATAATGTATTACCATGTTCAGAGGAAAAAGTGTTTTGTACAACATCTTAGTCATATGCTCATGTTGACTGAATTCATAAAACCTAATAGAGCATTTTATTCCACAAACCATAAAACAAGAGGTTTTCAGTTATCTACACATGCCTATTGGGCATGATCTAAAATGTCACATGATCTTATCAGCCCAAAGGCAACAAAACTTGGCAGATACCAGAGAATCTCAGAGTTGGAAGGGTCCCTGGATATGCTGTCTATACCAGCATGTCATGGACCCTCCCTGACAGAGAGACAGACAGACATCCTGCTTCCATTTGAACATGGTCAGGACTATAAGGGTTTGATGAAGGTCATCTGGTCTAGGCTCCATCTTCTGGAGCTGTGACCACCTGCAACACCATTTCCAGAGCTTTGGAAAGAGAGAAGGTGGCCTGTTTCAGGCTTCCCTGAAGCTCTCTACCTACAATTTAAATCCCCTTTCTGTCTTCTACAGAGAATTTTCATTTGGATTTTCTCTTGAATCACCAACTACTCAGCTGCTCTCCAGAGTGGTCTTCTTTAACCTCCCTTAAGTTGCTCCATAATCTCTCTTCATAGTGCCTCAAGGCAGTGTAATAGAAAGAAAATGGGACTAAGAGTCAGGGGAACAGGGTTAAACACACTGCGAATTAGCTCTGTGACTAGGGCAACAGCAATAACGATAATAATCACCTTGGTGCTCATCACCACTATTTATTAACAAATTGCTACAGCCAGGACCTGAACTAAACACTATATAATATATATTTCTTTTTTTACTTAATCCTCCCAGCAATCATTTGAAGCAGGTTTTATTGTTCCTTTTTGCAGATGAGGAAACTGAGGCACAAAGAGATTGGGCAAGTTGCTTGATCACATGTTTAGGAGGTGAAGGAGTAATATTGCTTCAGGTCCCTGTCTTCCTATGTGACTGTTACCTTACCTGGAAATAAGTAGACTTGACACTCAATGATTTTCCCTGTCAGCTCCTGGATTTTATAATTTTATGACTCTAATTTGCCTCTAGCTTTGTCGTAAGCTTAAATTACAAACTTGCTATGAATCCTTTTAGGTTTCAGAATTCTAAAAATCTTATTAATGCAAGGCACTACTGATATTTTCGACTGGGTAATTTTTAGTTTAGGGGGCCTGTCCTGTGCATCATAGTACGCTTAGCAGCATCCCTGGCCTCTACTCGTAAGAATCCAGTAGTCAAGACAATCAAGAATGACCGCAAGCATTGGCAAATGTCAGTTGACAACCACTGCATTAATACACTCCCTAATCCTGGATAATTTGTGTTGCTTTTCTCAATCTTCTTTTCAATAATATACAACAAAACAAAAACTACAGTTAAAAAATAATATAAGGGCCGGGCGCGGTGGCTCACGCCTGTAATCCTAGCACTCTGGGAGGCTGAGGCAGGCGGATTGCTCAAGGTCAGGAGTTCGAAACCAGCTCTGAGCAAGAGTGAGACCCCGTCTCTACTATAAATAGAAAGAAATTAATTGGCCAACTAGTATATATAGAAAAAATTAGCCAGGCATGGTGGCGTATGCCTGTAGTCCCAGCTACTCAGGAGACTGAGGCAGGAGGATCGCTTGAGCCCAGGAGTTTGAGGTTGCTGTGAGCTAGGCTGACGCCACGGCACTCACTCTAGCCTGGGCAACAAAAGCGAGACTCTGTCTCAAAAAAAAAAAAAAAAAATATAAGGATTGCTTGTTGGATCTTGAATGTCACAAAAATATTTTCACATTGTTGCTGTTTAAAAAATGTACATATCCATGTGTTCATTTCAACATCTGGTCAACCCTCTATATACAAGCTATGTATACACTGTTAGAGATCTGTATATATGAGAGAGGGAATGATCGGGCATTTGGTGGGAAATGTATTAACAACCTGGTATAGATCAGAAGTAGAGACTATTAAGGTGAAAAGGAAAATTAAAGGTATTTTGTTTGTTTTTTATATCTCCATATTTTCAGCCACCTTACTACAAAAGTCCCTAATACAATAAAACCATAAAACCATAAATCAACAATTGAAAAAAAAAGCAAACTACTCTCAAGGGAAACCTACACTAAGGAAAGCTACTTTTAATTAAGCATGGATTTTAACTCTAAATTTTACAGCAGCCTAGGCAAAAAAAAAAATTTAAATATGGATTATGGAGCTTTCATTATTCAAGGAAGCATACCAGAGGGACTTATTCCAAAAAAAAAAACAGAATTCACCGAGACAGTCTGGTAAAGAAGATGTTAAACAATGTAATAGTTAGAGCTATCTCTTTAATTTAATAAAAAACACAGAAATATTCTTTATACTTTCATTACTCAAAATACAAATTCTCAATGATTATGGGACCTTTGTCCTGGCCATCTCTCTTCCTCACTACTTTGTAAGCTCCTTATGGGCAGGGTCCACTTCTAATACAATCTATATTTGCACCTGCAACAAAGTAGGTGCTCACTAAATTTTGCTGAAAGAAAGGAAGAAGGAAAGGAGAAGCAAGGGGGTACGGGAAAAGAGAATCCTTGCTTATCCCACATGGCTCCCTTGGCCAGATTTGACCATTTTTAACTTTAACCATACACACTTACCATAAAACTTATGTGGCTGGCTGCCCTGATGGCTGGAACTGACTGCTTTTTTAAAAAACTATCCCACATCCATCACCTTATTCTCAGTGGAACCACTGTAACCTTCATTCTCAATTTAAGCGCTTGAGTAGGGCCACACCCAGCTATAAGGAGAGGAGATATGACTCCAGCCCGACCAAATGACTCTAGTCTGACCAATCAGAGCACCAAATTTCCCTGATGAAAGTCACTGGTTCAGGGAAGAGTACATAATTTAGTCGGAAACCATACGACTTAGTGGGACGTTTGTTGGATCTGCTAAGAGTACCTTTTCTACTGTTCTGAAACCTAGGAGGATGTGGATCTGGCACTGTTAACATGTATTTTGCTACCATGTAGAGAAGCAGTGGCCAACCTTTTTGGCACCAGGGACCAGAGACCAGTTTCATGGAAGACAACTTTTCCATGGACTGAGGGAGGCAGGGACTGCCTGACACGCACCTCTTGCTGTGCGCCCCCAGCCCCTCCTAAGTTTAATGGAAGAAAATTTTTCTACAGACAGGGGGCAGGGCAGGGGTGGGTTGGAAGGTACAGCAGTGTAGTGCTGCGGCCTGGTTCCTAACATGCCACTGATCACTACTGGTCCATGGCCCGGGGATTGGGGACAGCAGAGAGAGAATGAAGCCATCACAAAGCAGAGCAGAGCTGAGAGAAGAAGATCCAGCTGTGCCTGAAAGAAACCAAAGCTATCCCTAGACTTGCCAGGTATGTGAGAGAATACATTTTATTTTTGCTTCAGCCAGTTTGAATCAGGATTTCTGTCACTGGAAATAAAAAGTATACTAATTGACACAGCCCTTTATTTTGTCTAACTTCCTGACTGGCCTCTGACCATTTCTGGAGCCAACCAGTAGGTATTCAATATGTGTCTGTTGGATGAATTAACTAAATAAATAAACTTCAATAAATAAACTTCTCTGAGAACAGGGAATCAAAGAAATGTACTAAGGATAAGTTATGGGTCTAGAAAATAGAAAGAGGCCAGGACTAATATAAATATTAAGTCATGAGGGTAGATGAGCCAGATCAAGGATCAAGAATAGTTACAACATGATTGCTGCTCTGTGGACTTGGGTTGCAACAGGTTAAGTCCCAGTGACTCAAACATAACATCTGCATGTATGAAAGGACATACTGAGCTTCAGTAGGCTGAATTTGACTCCTAACTCAGTAGGAGCTCACCCTCTACCCCAGAATATGAGCCAAGACCTCTGGAGTCCTAGGTTGGTTTGTAGGCCAGAGACCATGAAGCCGAAGGTGTCCAGGAGCGAGCATGTCAAGATGAGATTGAACCAGGTGGAAGGTCCACCTAAGGCTCCAATCTTAAGAGAATGGACATAGAAGCAAAGTCCAACTCTGAGGCACTGGCTCTAAAACCAGACTTTCTGACAGCCTGATGAAGGTGGAGGCTGGAGAGTGGTCATGAACTACAGGAACACAGCTGCAGGAAAGGTTTTGTTAATGAGCTCCTAAGGCCCTGGATGAAGCCAGAGAACTGAAGGCCACTGCCAAAGCTGGGCTGGCTCGGACAGGTTGCCTATATGGAGGTGACAGGTT